CTTTCCCCTGATGCATGGGACACTGGCCACACCTAAAGGTGAGAGGTTGGGTTGGACTGGCTTTGCTGGTGTTCCTAATGGAACTGAGAAACCAAGTGCCTTGCTGGCTGGTCTTACTCAAATAGATACACTGTTAATCAGACTTGGGGTCAGGAAGACATTTTCCCTCAGGCCAGATTGGTAAGAACTCTTATGGTTGGTTTGTCTTCCTCTGTAGCAGGGGACATGATCATCTGAGTATATTTTCCCTAAAATATACGTACTATTGCAGTTACTAAGGCATGTGTGCACTATGCAAGGCATGGTGGCATGTGAGAAGATCGAGGATACCTGCCCAGAGAAACTCCCTGGACAGAGAGCCACATCCAGCAGTAGCAATGTGGCCATGCTCCAGAGGGAGCTCCCAATCCACCCAGGCTCAGCCTTATCAGCTCACCAGGTGAGCCAGATTGGTTCAACCAAGGCTCCGGGAGCTATTTCCAGCGCAATATGCTGGCAGGAAGGAGAAAGGTAAAGAGAAGAAGGGGCCAGCAGAGAGGGCAATTGCCCACCTGCCGGTCTGGACTGAAGTCCCCGGGAACAGGGCAGGAGACCCAAAGGGTCTATAGAGCTCGGAAAAAGCATTTCTGCATTAATTGGCTGCAGCGAGTGGCTAATTGAGCTGGCAAGACACTAATTATTGAAGGAAAAAAAATGCCTGATTGCGGCTTCAGTGTTTGGGAACTTGTGGACTGAATGAGAAGAGGAGGAATAGCAGCCACTATGAATCATGGCACCATGGGGAAAAGTGGACAAATGAACACGTTGGGTCTTTTTTTTTTCCTTTGTTTTGCAAGGAGGTTTTTTTTTCCTTTTGCCTGTCTTTACATTCTGACAGGCGGCAGTCAGCTCCTGGTCAGGGAGTCATCACCCCTCCCTAATTCAATCAATTAATCAAGTCATAGCAGGCAAGAACTGCGAGGAGCACTGACCCAATTGACTGACTGGCATCTGTCCAGCATAAGAATGGCAAGTGAATGTCAACGGGACGCAGAGGTCCACGTCCATACACGGTGATATCTTGACATGGCACCTTTGTCTTTTTGATGTCTTGCTGTGGCACATTAGGGTTTTTTGAATGTTCAGCTCCTTCATGGCTCTGGTATGTGGTAAGGCTAGAGTGGATGACCTTGTAGGTTCTTTTGGACAAATGTTTGTTGCATAGTTGCAGATGAATGCACATGATGACCCAGGAAGTCACTTCCTGCCCTAGGTTCTTATTTGAGCAGTATCCTCAACAGACAGGAGTAAATTTCTTGCTTTGTAGCAAGCTGGTAGCATGCTCCAACCCACAGCTGAGGTGGGTTAGCTTAAAGAGACAAGCATCTGCTTAATTAGTTTATATATGGGAAATGTTTCAGTCCTATCACTGATGTGAAATGTCCCTGCTGGGAGCTGAATTTAAGGGATATATGCGCTGAACGATAAAAAGGAATTGACTTTAATCTTTGTTTCTTTTGATATGAATTGAAAAGTGGAACTAGCAATCAAGAAAGTACTAGCAGTGTATCTTTGTCACCAATTGGTTGCTTACTCTGACTAAGTTCACTATCACTTCATTTGAAATTACACTAATTTTGCTTCCAGTGAAGTCAGTTGAAACTTAGGTTGACTTCTGGGAAAGAAGGACTGGCCCATAGCCAGCAAAGTGATTTGTAGTGCATACTTCTAGTAATCCGTTTTGCTGTATCACTAAACTATAACTAATAACACCATAACTAATGGTATGAATCAGCGTCTTTGTCAGCAGCCTCAGCAGAGAGGTCAAAGACTGAATGGGCCTCAGAGGCTATCTTGCCTCTCTCCCAGAAATGGAACAAAGCAGATGGGCAAATTGAAAGCACTGTGAGGAAGATTGTGTGCTACTGTTTGTGTTGTTCCCTGCAGATAAATAAGACTTCAGTCTCCAGAGCAGTCAAAGCGGGTACCTTTTACCAAAGGTGTTTACATCTTCCCAGAGAGAAAAAATAAGGTCTGACGTGTAGCTGACTATAAAAAGCAACTTTAATAAAACACAGATAAATTTGTTGTGCTCAAAGCGTAGACCACAGCTTCCCAGAATACCTATTTTATCAATAGTTGATTGACTGGACATGATTTTGATCTGCCCGGTGCTAGTTTTTACCCTTGTTGAGACAGGTCATGTTTGACTTACACCTACATAGCTGCAAGACAAATCAGAGTCTTTATCCCTTAATGGGATTTCACTTTGTAGTCTGATGGATTTTGTTGGCTTCATAGTATCTTCTGCAAAGAACACCAAAAATATCAGTGAATCCACATGGGGAAGGGATGGTTTCCTTAGTTAAAATTTTAAAGATTGATGGTGCAAAACATTAATTTTGCTGGATCATCCATCTACCAACAATGTGTGCTCCCCAGTGGCATATACTTTCTAGCTCCCCTGTTTTGGACCCCCCTGAGTCTGTCCCTCCTTGCTCATTATGTAGGAGATAATGCCACATTGTCCAGCATTGCCCATTTCCAGCCCTTTGCCAGATAAGGCAACTCTGGCACTGAGAGCCCAACAGCAGAAAATGCTACTGTGCCTATGGATAGATGTTGGAGGATGACTGGTTTTTTTGGTTGGGTTTTTTTTGGTTTTTTTTACCCTTTGCTACTTGGGAATCTATTTTCTTCATTATTAAGCTTCTGTAAACCATGAAAAATTATGACAATGTGATCCTCAGAGTTTTTAAGTATATGATCATAAGGCCAATTTTGAGTGGACCTCCTAGGTCATTAAATCCTTTCCTCTGTATTAACCAAATTTATAATAAATATATCATGTTGCAATAAATTTCTGATGAGGGAAGAAAAATCCCACTATTGAGAATTCTGCTCAAGATGCAAGCTGTTTTTTTCAAAGCCATTCCCTGTAAACTGGACTGATATCAATCAGGATGCAGCTTACTTCCCATGTGCCAAACAGCTAAACAATTACATTCACATCTCCCTTCCCAGTTTAACTGTGTGAAAGGTAATAACTTTCCCAAAGATCCCCAGCTCCAGGTGTTAGTCAAACACTTCTCCTTAGACTTAAAGGAAAGAAATGGGAAAGAACTGAATAAAATTTAAAGAAAGAACTTCAAGATTTGGGCCATCATCTCCTGTGATAACTTGATAAGACGCATAGAGTAAAACCCTGGTCTTCCAAATCTAAAGTAGCTCCATATGAGTAAAAGGGTTTACACCAGTGCAAACTGGGGTGCAGAATATCATTTGTCTATGCTCTTCTAACCTATGCACTGGCCAAGATGCGTGGGTCAGAGTCTCATGTGTTGTAAATAGTTCCAGTGGGGTGCATCTAACAAAGAAGTTGAACACCTAGGGCTAGAGGCCCTTAAGGCTTCTGCTCAGTTGCTTCCTAACTAGAGGCATCTAAATTCTCGAGGCATTTTCTTGTTTGACTTGAATTCTGCATCTTTGGATGCCCAAAATTGCTTGTATTTTCCATCTCCCATCTAAGCCCCTTTGGGATCCAGAAACTAGGCTTCTCTCTGATTAAGTATCCTGAGGGGCCCAATTTAGTAAATGTTCTCAAGGGATGCCTCTCTTCCTCTCAAAATGTAGGTGTGAATGGCTTCTTTTAATGTATGGTCAGAGGAGAAGGATCTGGGAGTGAGCCTTCCTCAGTTTTTTGAAAGAATGGATGGTTTCCAGACTCCAGTCCCAAGTGGATGAAAGTGCTCGAGCTTCAGAGAGGGGTAGAATTTCAGACTCATCCCTGTGCTTTAGCACTTCTATAACCTAATCCTATAGGAGCACAGCAAGCAGGTCTTTTTGGATCACTATTTTGCAGTGCCTAACGCCCCATGTACTGTATAAAAATTATAGATGCCTAACACAGGTTCTGGATTCCACTCTGAGGGCCAAGCCACTCTCTTACTGTATCTGGCTTAGTGGCTCTTGTGTATCTGTGTCAGTTTATATCTGCTAACTGGCCTGTTCATATAGGAAGAGTGCATATTATGAAACTTAGTTGTAAAACAAACTTAGTCAACATCACCATTTTCTGGTTCCTAGGATATGAATGTTTCTCTCTGTAATCACTTCTCCATAAACTGACTTCCTTCTGTATGGGAGGAGACCAAACCCTACATATGTGAAAAGCATGTGCTAGTTGGTTATTTATATTAAATAATAATAACTAATCTTTGGCATATTTTAAAATATCAGAAAGTAGTGTTTTATCATATGCACAAGCTGAATAGTCCATAATTCATAGTCACTGTATGACTGAAGTATGTGCCTCTAGCATTTCATATTTATTTTGCTGTTATAGTAATAAAGAAAGGAAATAGTTGTGGTCTCAAATCTACGTAGCACAACCATTCCCAAATATGTGTGGACAATGAGAATAATCGTATCAGTGTTAATGCACTACCCATGGAAAACTGGTCATGACTCGCAAGTAATTTTTTAGGTATGATTTTTTGCCATCCTATGGATCCATTTCTTTGCCTTTCTTTTAAGTCACACTCTAAACTTATAACAGGCCCTACATGCATTCACTGAGGTTGTAAAGATGCACCTGATAGCATATTTGACAATATTCCTTAAAAGTATTAACTGTGCTTTACTAAAAATGACATGTATATTTAATTATTAAGTTACATTAATATGAATGAAAAATAATGTCGCTAAATCCTTAAACTAACTTTGAAAAATCCCACTTAAATCCATACATATCTGTATGCATATCTATATATGGCTGTGTGTATTTTTATCGTAGTAATAATTTCACATTTTTGTCATTTACAGTTTTTTGTAGCTTCTCCAACATATTAGACATAAAAATAATCAGAAATCTAATATTGAAATGGGAGGATGGGAGTGGACTTGCCATATTTTCTACAGCACTCCCATAATCAGATGTTTTGAGTTGTGTAATTGGACAGTGCAAAGGATGGTGTCACTCAAAAAGTTGCTGTGTAGGATATATAAGAGACAGAGTTAAGCCATAAGTAAACACTACTGTTTTACCAAGCAGGCTGACCTGAAGTAGTTACTAGCTTAGTTACTCAAGAAGAGAGGAGATTTTCTTTTCCCATTTATCAGATAGTTAAAATACGTTTTTTCCAGTGGGTATCAGTGAGCCAGAATTAAAACTCAGAATGCAACAGACAAGTGAAGAATTTCAAACATAGACATTACAGGAGTCCTAATACAGCAGAAACCTCATTGAGGTGAGTGATTTGTTTTTCTCTTGCTTAAATTATTCCTGAAAAAATAGTGTATTTTTTTAAAGGACTGAGTTTGCAAACAGTGTCTAGATTTAAAGATGTTGAATCAAATACACTGCTTCTCCATTGTTTTTTGCCCATTAGAAACATTTAAAAAATATCTGAGTTTCTGCACTTAAGAACAGATAATTCACTAAGAGCAGTAGCCTTGGCAGCATTAAATAATTATTAGGGTATCCAATATTTGTTCATGATCCTGGTAAGTTAGAACTATGTTACTTCCCAACTGTGATTTGTGTTTTGTCCTTGAAAAGCCTTCTCACCCTTGTATCTTCGTGACTCTACATCCTTTGTGCTACATTACATTTTATGAGATGCTAAAAAAAATAAATCAAAGAATTGATGATGCCATTAAAACTCATTTGCCTTTCAATAGACCTATTTTATTCACTATTGGCCAACCCAGAATCTTTAATTTGCATGAAAATGGTCCCCTTTGTTCTTTTCTCATCATGTATAAAGCAAACCATGTCTCTCCCCTTCAAAAAAGAAAATTCCCATGACTAGTGTTGCATATGAATTTGTTTCATTCCTCTGTATAATAGCCTTGGCACATTGCCACCTTCACTGAAATATAGAGTAGAAGTCCCAAAGTCTCACTAACTGACCCTGCTGTATTGAAGAGGCACAGATGACATGAAAAAGTAAAAGGCAACTTCCCAGTGGTGAGAGAAGAGGAAGCAGAAACCAAATGAGGACCCAAAGTTGTCATCAACTTTGTTTCAGACTGTCATAACATTATATGCACGCATCTCCAACAATCGCACTGGTGAAATAATAGCAGCACTTCATAGGTTTCATGAAATTGGTTTATGAAATGCCATTTATGGGTCCAGCATCCCAGTTCTTATATCTGAGCACATAACAGAGAAAAGTAGATGAAATAAATGGAAATGGAAGTTATAGAAGATTAACACATTTTTATAGAAGAACACATTTTTGTTCTATACAAAGAAAAGAAAGACCCAAAATGGACTTTTCCAAGAAAAATGGTCCAGCTGAGGGTAAAATACGCTGTACTCAATAATTTTTAGTGTTCGATTCTGCTCTCAGATATGTTTGAAAAACAAGGTTTTTGGATAGGATCTTTTACCAACCACTTGTTTCTCTCATGTTCTCTGGAACCTCGTGGCTACAACACTCCAGCCATACTATTTAGATATATACACTATGTGTCCTAGTGTGTCAAATAATAACAAATCCTGTGTGTTTGGATATCCTGTGCTAAACCTGACAGAGATTTATAAGTATGGGCTGAACTCCCTTTGATTCCAAGTAATACGACAAAAAATAGGAGCATAGGAGATTGCTACATTTTTAAAAATCCTTTTCTTATTAATGTTTGCTTATACAAAATATAGGCTGGATCCTCATCTGTTCTAAGTGCACATTTGGCACTGGAGGGGAGGGTGGTCATAAGCCATGTTACTCTTTCGTTGAGCCTGGAAAAACTAAACTAGTATTCTAAGCACATATTAGGGTAGCCAAGGAGCTGCTCTAACTTATGCTGACTAAAGCATTCCAGGGACAAATCATTCTTCACCAACCTAGGACTGCCAGAACACATTGCATTCTGATGTGCTCCATTGTGGCTCCAGCACTGAGGAGATGGGGGAACAGATGGCATTCATTTGGCTACACTGGTGTTATACCAGCTGGTGTTAACTTCTCAGCTTCCTGAGTAAAGCAGCTTTATTTCTCCTTTAGACTGCTGAAGCACTGGAAACTTAAGCAGGGGTAAGGATATCACCCTAGAATTCTCTTCCTTACAATAATCAGATCTGGTATAGCACCTACAGACACATATGTACAGTGTGCCATCATAAGCAAAACAATAGATTTGCACTACAACAAGACCTATACTTACCCACCCAGGTTTTACAGAAGAAAAAAGGAAGAAAAATGTCTTTTTCCACAAGACTCATCTATTGATGATGCAGAGAAAGGGGGAAAATTATGAAGTGGCAAGAAGTACATAAATCCTGAGGTCCTTAGCTGTTTTCTTAGGCAAAATTCCCATTATACTATGGCAGTATTACCTGGGTAAAGAGTTGGATACAAATAAAGACTTCCAGATTTGTCCCAGTATTAACTAGAGGGTTGGGCACTTTCTTACATCCATAGGTGAAATGCAGGAGCTCCTTGCATTCCTTTATTCCTCCCCAGAAGTTTTCTGACTCCTATTTCAGGGATTCCTTGCAACTTCACTGGACTTTTCTCTCCCATGCCAGGGACTGTGCATGTCCTACACCTCCATGCACCCATACAAGACTCTTGCCATTATTATATTTCCCCCCTCTCCTTTATGGGGTATGAACATGTTAACTACTTTGGGAAGATGGGCAGAGCCTCAGCTTTAATAGCACTTTTCATCAGTAGATCTTAAAGTACTATGAAGAAGTTACCTTCGGTAAGTCACTTTATATCTCATTCAAAACTATAAAACGTAAAAAAATGTTAACTGCTTTGTATAGTACTTTTAGCTATACTGATGAAAAGTGCTAAATATGGCTTATGCCTGAGTTTTGTAACAACAATAACGATGTTGCTCCATGGAATTCATTTGCAGCTGCTTTCCTCATTTTACAGATCAGAGAACTGAGGCACAGAAAAGTGATTTCCTCAAGACAACACAGCAAACCAGTGGCAAAGCCAGAAATAGAATCTCTAGGTCAGGGGTGGGCAAAATGTGGCCTAGGAGCCAGATGTGGCCCACCAGGACATTCTATCCGGCCCGCAGGGCCCCTAAAAAATTTAGAAAATTAACATTAATCTGCCCTGGGCTGCCTGCCATGCAGCCCTCGATGGCTTGTTGAAACTCAATAAGCAGCCCTCTGCCCAAAATAATTGCCTGCCCTTGCTCTAGGTCTTCCTGAAGCTATGTTTGTGCTCTGTTTAGTAACTTACACTACCTATCAGCTGGCGATCTGTCTCTGTGACAGGTAAAACAAAAAGAAGAAAAACACTTTACTGACTTTTAAATAAGTATAGAGTATATGATTGAATTCAGAGCATTGCTGGAAAATATTCCTGTTAACTTTCTAAACACTTCCCTGTTCATTTAACATTTTCTATGAACCAAAATGCTCATCAATAAAGATGCTGTTCAAAACCCACACTCCCATTGCATAACAAAAAGCATACAACGGTGAGGTTCATTTCCATTCACTAGCAACCTCATCTGTTGCAGACGCTGACCAAAATGATTTACTCATATATGTAACATTTATTTTTGGTGGAATGTTGCGCTTACAAAAGAGAGCTGATAGTTCAAAACAGTTCCAGAGAGCTGGAAATATTTCATCTGGGAGGGTACTGAAAAAAACTGTTATTAAAAGGAAGGCAGTAGCGAAGCAAAGCAGATGGAAACAGCCAAGTAATTCTGATCTTTATGACTTCCTCCATTCTTCCTTCAGCTGCAGATCTCACATCCCAGTTTACAGTGTTTCTTCCCAACAGAGCAGAGGTATGTAGGTTTTTCTGTTATACTTTTTATTCATTTTTAAATTTTTCTCAACCTGAGGACTAATGTAGCGATAGTGAAACAATTTGCATAGCTTAGTGGTACACACATTCACTAGAAAGGCTTCCAAAAGAGGGCCTGAATCTTATACTAAATTTATTTTTCACCACTCTGACACCATAAAAGGATGTGAATTAATTTTGATGATTTCTTAATAAAGTGCACCTATTTAATTTAAACCTGTGTGAGGAGCACTATGTAAACTGAGTGTAAATGAGAATCTGAATCAGGCAGAGTCTCACTCTCTCTTTCTTTACTTGCATTTTGACTTTAACTAGATTTGCTTAGGAATTGCAAATTTGCTCCAGCTGTAAATTAATTCCAACCTCAGCATCTAATAGAAAATATTTCCTCCATATTTTGGTGGGAGGGGGTTATATTTTAAATTAAGCAGATTGCAACATTTCTGTGAATCTCTTGAATTACCATGTAAACAAAAGGAAACAAAGATGTATAAAAATCAGTAAGAATTCATTTTTCAAATGAAAAGCAACTATAATTATCGAACATTTATAGTAGTTTACACCATTCTGGGGAAAAAGGAGAATGAATGGGAGAGTATCAGGTAAAGAAAGAAAACAGATATTTGGGGAAATTGTAGAGTGCTATGCAGCCACCATAGATCAAATCCTGAAGGCTGGATTCACCTCAAGTCTTCAATGGGCCTAATCATGTGCTTAAGTACCTTGTTCATTCAAGACATGAGAGATGAGCTAATCAAAGTAGTTTGAATTTAAATATTGACCTGTCTTGAAATGGAGAGTTCAAGCATCTTGATAATCTGGTCTATACCTATTAATCTCATGGGAATTTTTAGTTGACTGTTATATTCCACAATCTAGGTTCCCCCTCCTCCATAGAAACTGGGAGAAGTGGACAGAGCATTGCTCTAAGGCAGTGATTCTCAACCTTTTTTGGGCCAGGACCCATTTGTAAACATTGATGCCCAATCCTGACCCAGTGCCCCTCACTCCTGATCTGCTGTCCCCAGCCCCCAAGTGTGTAGGTTGGTGGGATATGGGGGGCCCCCCAGGCAGCCCCTTGCAGGCTGGAACTCTGCCTGTCTGCAAGGTAAAAGCCAAAGTTTCCCACGTTTTTCTCCTTTAAAGGAGAATCTATTTTTAAAGTTCATGACCCTTTCATATATTTTTGCAACCCACTTACAGGTTGAGAAATGCTGCTCTAAGGCACAAATGAGTGAGCTTAGAGCCCACTTGTATTGTCTGAGAGGTTAAATGTATTCCACACACTTGAAACCTCTGAATTGGGCAGGATTTTCCCTGAAGAACAAATCTTTGGGCTGGATCATGGTATATAAACCATTGAAGTTAACAAACATTTGAGTGTTGATCCAGTTTCAGGATTTTGCTGCTGATTTCTTGCTGCAGATTTCTGATGGAGGGATTAATCACTGATGACAGTCCTAGAAGTTTAGATGATATATGTAATATATATATTTTTTACATTTTATTTATTTATTTATTTTACTTTGTACTGTTACTTCTGGTCTGAGAATGTAGTAATTTCTGGGATGGTGTTAATTCACTGCCTATTTTAGGAAGCTCAAAAAGGTGAAGTTACAATTGTCCTCCTTAATACTAAAACACTGCATCTTGGTGGATTCTCTTCTGACTATGCTAAACATGTTTCTACTTGGGTTTCTAGATCTACTATTAGATTCTCATTTTCACTGAATTATCAGGGATATTTGGAAACTCCAGCCAGTGCTGACCTAGTATTTACACAGGGCATTATTTTGTAGTAAGTGTTTCATATAGGCTTATTTATTTATTTTACAGCATGGAATCTGTTCCAACATCTGCTTGGCCATGTGTCTCCAGCAGATGGATGCCTCACCATTGCTTACTGTCTCTGATAGCTTATGACTGAATTAAAAACAAAATGCTGACAGATTCACCAGATTGCCAGGCTAGATTAGGGCCATCCTATGTGCATGTGTGCACAGGCTGAAGGCAACACCTTCATCTGCAAGACCCTGCCATGTCCCAGAAAGGGAGGTTGTCCCAGAAAGGGAGGTTGGCTTTGGCTGGGGAGAGCCAGTGGACGTCCAGGCTAGGAAGGGCCATAGTTTGTAAGCATAGCTGTGTACATATGTTACAGTTCTGGAACCAAAAAGGAGGAAGGCCACTGTGGTGTTCACCAACTCAGCCATTTCTACCCACTTCCTACCCTTGGCCCTAGTCCAAACAGCCCCATAGGCAGGGATTGTGAGCAGGAGAGAACAACAAAGCCCCACATCAACCTTGTACTGTCCCAGTAGTGAGGCTTTCTCCTTTGGTTCTTTACCTCCAATGCAGAGGCAATAATCTGACCCCATCAATTTACTATATAAATATAATTAAACAAATCAAGGATAGTTGTTACTTTTTTCTACTGCTGATGTACTGAGGTGAACACTGGTTGTTACAGCTCAGGCTAACAGAGCCAACTTAGCTGCAGGTGGATTTAGAAAGGTTAGTACTGCAGACCTTCTATCCTCACTGGAAGGCCTTTCAACTCACCTGCATTCTACCTTCATTCTCTACTCCATTTGGCTTCTTTCTACTCCTGCTTCCCTCCTCTCTCTATCATTTATTGCTCCTGCACTGTCTATCCACCTGCATTCCCACTTAGCTCTTGGTCACACTTATCTATTCCCCATTCTCAGTATCTGGCTATTTCCCCTGCAGTGGCAGATGTGTACAGAGGCAAGACTCACAGGCTGCACTCACGTTTTTACAGGGAACGAAGCATACAGAAAAAAAACCCTAACATTTCTTCTGCTTGGGGACCTATATGCACCATTGTGGGCGCTTGACTGGAGCAGCAAACTGAGGGTTTGTACGCATGAGAGAATCCGAATCAAGTACTGACCTCTTGTTTTGTCCCACAGGCTAGTGTTGGTTTCCTTATTTTGGCTTGGACTCCTCTCCTGTTCCATCAGGCAAATTAGCACAAGTAAGTTAAATCCAAGGTACTTGAAAGACATCTGGACAGCACACATGCACAGAGACAGGGGGAACAGTGGTGTGTGATTGAGAGCAGTCTCCTAGCTCTTTTCCTGTCCACTGCACTTGTCTAAAATATCCATGTGAGAGACAGGAAAAACAACCAGTCTGACAAGGCAAAAATATGAATCTTTGCTGTTTAATTTACAGGAGTCTTGAGCTTCTAGAAGCATCTCAGAAGATTTTCTGAGACTTCAGGCAATTGATAGCAACTTACACTTTACTGTGTCCTTCTTAGCTATCTTGCCACTTTTCTTATCTTGTTACTTTTTTTTTTCTTTCTATCACTCCTTCCTTCAAAATTTTCCCTTTTTCCTCTTCTCTCCAATCCTATTGCCCTCCTTACTACTGTAACTTCTCAGAGGATGCATTTTAAATGGGTAGCACTATGAAGGTTATCCAGCACCTATTAGATGGTACAATTGGTCTAGTGAACACCTGAGTTTTATCCCCAGCTCTGCTTTAGAACCAGATGTGTGATCTTGGACAAATGCCCTTTTAGTTTCTGGTTCCCTTCCCTCCATTTGTCTGATCTTTTTTGGTGGCAGAGCAGGAACTGTCTCTTACCAAGTGTAAGTACAATGCCCAGCAGCATCAGTAGGATAATAATTTGCACCCCACTGTCTCCTTTCTTTTAATGAACTCAGCTGCATGTAACCTGATTTAAGTATAATTATCCTGCAAAGTGTTGAGGGCCTAATTCCCACCCAGTTTATTCAATACTTTACAGACTCAAGCCCTAAGAGAAGGATGAAGTTAGGTGCCAAAGATCACATAGGAAGCCTGCAACTGAAACAAGATGAAAGTCCAGATTTCTTGGCTCCCATGTCAGGCTAAATTTGAGGAATAAGTATGATTGATGCTGACAATTGGAAAGTGACACTAATACAGTGGATATCTTCAATCCCTGTACAATACCTCAGCTATAAGCACCTTGTGCCCTTTCTAGTAGTGGCAGTATATGTAAGCTGTGAAAGCACCTGTTCATTAACACAAGAGCTGTAATACTTGTCCTGTTCTAACACTGGCCAGAAAAATAATTGCAAAGCAAGAAGAATATATTCTGTACATGTTTCCCAGTGACACTGGAAAATGTTTCCTCCATAGTAAGCGTGACCAGAAATAGAGACAAGTAGCTCATTACCACAGCAGTTAGCTTATGGTGAATCTCAGGTGCTGAAAAATATGAAATGTATCTTCTGCAGGGAAGGAGGGGAGGTATTTTAGCTGTGAGCCAAAGGAGGGATTGCTCAGATTCTGGAATGAATGCAATCATGTGGCACTTGCAGTAATACTTCGTTAATGTATGTGTGTCTGCATGATAAAATGGTTACATTCATTAGGGCACTGATGTCAAGGGAGTGGATTAGTCAGATGTATGACACAACACATCTGCTCTACATGATTGACTTGATATGTAGGGTGGGGAGATGATGTCAGTGTGAATGCAGGTTTGTGTCTCTCTAAGATTACAAGATCTGAATTTACTGCCATCCATAATCTGCAGCTGCTGTCCAGGCAGGTCCTATTTGGTTCTATAAGAAAGAGAGAGAATGAGGAGTGGTAGAGGAGGACAGGACAGGACAGGACAGGACAGAATAGAATAGAATAGAATAGAATCTCCTCCCAGGATGTACATGGTCTTCAAAGAGAGATGTTGTGGCTTCTTTATTCTGTCACAAATGAAGGGTTAGTGCTACACTGGAAAAGGAAGCATGGTTTTGTGGTTAGAGCTTGGGGTTGCAACTCTTTAAATTCAATACCTGATTCTGTCACAGACTTCTTAGGTGAACTAGTCTCTTCATCCTACTGTGCCTCAGTTCCCCATCTGTTAATTGAGGGCAATGATGCTTCCTTTGTGAATTCAAATTCCCAAATGGTTGTGAGGTATTTGGAAAGGGCACATAAATAATAAATACTGAATAGTACTGCTGCTACCTTTATGCTACATTTCAGATTGCAGTGATACTTTTTCCATCCTGTTCATCCTCTCATTAAACTTTTTTGTTTATAACATAGGCTCCTTTTTGACACAGGGAGCATCTCATGGACATCTCCCCTCCTGTTAACTATACTAATCACTTGACTTATTTGTGAACACATAACAGTGAACATGTAACAGACTTGTTGCAACAACAGCAATTGGTCACATACGAGGAGTATTAGGAACATGTTTTTAGGTTTTACCCTTTTAACAGCTGGAAGCAAGGAGGAGTTGATGCTATGTGATGACAAACACCGCAGTATTCCACACTGAGAAATCTGAGACCTTCTGCTTTATTGTATCTTGTTTTGAACCTAAATGTATCTGTGCTTGGGGCCTACAGAAAGAAGAATCATTCTGATACTGTCCAGATTATGTATGGACATTTCTGAGCTGGGTAGGAAAACTACATATTGTTCAGCAGTGACAAAATGATGAACTAACTCATTGCACTTGTGACAAAACTGTTGCTACTATAATAAGGGCAGTTAAGGGATGGGTATGTGGAGGGTATTGTTGCTGCTGTTGTTGTTTCTCTACCAGCAAAGCCCTAGGGTACATGCAGTTATATGGGTAGAAAAGTGCTTCTTTGCCTATGTAAACTTTGTCTACTTTAAGAGGGTTTGCTGATACAGCTGTACCAGCATATACCATGAACCTTTGCAACCTAGACTTGGCTTGAGATCCATGAACAGACAAGTTTAAAATCATGCATGAGCTGGCACGTTCTGACTGAGTGCACATCTGGTCTTATTTGAAGACAGCTGCTTTTAACATAACAGGTGAAGCGATATGGAAATAATATCCTGTACATGAGCATATAATGCTCAGAGATATAATGAGGAACAGTTGATACTGGTATTCATACCTGTGTTTGCTTGAATGGTGCCAAGTGGACATATGCTTATACAGGAGTCTCTGTTTATTTATAGCTGTCTAATCCAGGGTAAATTACCTGTTCAGTCCTTCGCCTATCATTGCTGGCTTCAGGAACTTTATTCTTGCTGTGCAGATATAACTCTCTTTAACATTTACCTTTTATAGGATAAGCATGAGAAGGAAATACAACATATCTGCCCCATGTCCTCTTAACATAAGAACTGCTATAGTATCTCCCAGTATGTATTGTAACAGTTTTTTCTAAACTGTGAGATAACTCAGACAATATAGCTAGAAATGGCTACTCAATTTGCAATGCAGAAAACATGAGAGCAGAATTGTTATCCTTCTCATTCCATGTAAAATGAGATTCAGTCTCTTCAGACTTGCTTATTTTTAATGGATAATAAAATGTACAGGAGTCCATACCTGGCTTGTAAACTCCAGATAGGACTTAGAATTTTTACAAGTGCCTTTGTAAACCCTTGAGAAAATGTCCATAACTTAAGTAGCACAGGGAATGTAAACCTATTCCCTTCACAAAAGGAAGAGCAGGGCAGCATGTCAACATTAACAAACTGTGTGCAACCCATCAGACCTTTTGACTTTCATGGGTGAAGTTTTTGGTGAACTTTATATGTTCTTATTTTTGGGGGCTGGGGGGAGAGGGTAGGGAGGAGAATAAAAACTCCAAAAATAAGCCTTTCAATTTCCCTCTCAAATGACACTGATTTCTAGGGCCAAATTGTTTAAGACATGGCATGGCAAACTGTAATTAGATGACTTTTTGAAAAGTTACTTGTTTCCTCATCCATAGCTTGACTGAGTCAGTTCAATTTCTGCCAACTTTCCTTTAGCCACAGGTCAGGCATGTGGCATTTGTGGATTTTTTATGAGGCATTAGAAGTTGGTGTCTGGAATAGAACCCTTGTTACAAACATAACTGCTGAGAGGCAGACAGCTTTACAAGTTTAGCTTCCTTGTGAACTGAGGACCCAGCATTGTGACCTCTGCATTCAGCTTAGCTGCCCAAGGAAGACAGCAACTTGGGTTTACCACACTGAATAAATGGACTTGTGACTTGTCTGAATATTCATGTTTGTTTTTAACCAATCCAGACTGTCTATAAACTTTCCTTGACCCAGTCTATTAATTTTAAGAGTGACTAGGGTCATATATGAGAGATGGACCATGTGGGTTCCATCCCAGATAGCTGGAATAAGCTACCTGTATAATGAAATTGGGCTCAAATCTGTTTGGTCTTAGGAAAAATTTGATCCCTTAAGAAGACTTCTAAATGGAGAAAAGTGAACTGAAATTATGATGATGCTGTGTGTCATCTACTATTGAAAGCCTTAGTCTGATTTCACTCTGGAGCTGCTCCATTGACTTCAGTACTGACACCCAGGAGGGTCCCTAGATCAAACAGGATGTTTGTAGCATAGTCAGGAACAGCTCCACCTGCACAGATGTTCTAGTCCCATTTCATAATTACAGGAACATCATTAGCATGTCAGAGGGCAAAAGTACTAAGTAAAAACAAAAGACAACCTCTGAGAAATATAAGTGACTTCTTAAATGTCTTATTTACATGACAGACAAGGTTCTTTAGGTAAAAGTGGTATCTTTTATTAAATCAACTAAATAGTTGGAAAAATTGTTCTTTGCAAGCTTTCAGGTACAAACACCCTTCTTCAGGCACAGGGAGAGTTTGTTATTTCTTTGTGTTGTCTCCTGGGTAGAGTGGAAGCCAGTATACAAAATGCTGGTCTTTGAAAATGCAAATGCATGGCAGCCCGGAAGAGAGGTCCTGTGAGACAATAGGTGAGAAAGGTAGGAGTGGGAGGAAGGGGGGGAAGGATGTGGCTGTTAAAATGCAGACCGGTTACCCTGGGTTATCAGATGGCAGGGAGGCTATAATGTGCCATATAGCCAATGTCTATATTTAGTCCATGATTTTTTGTATCCAGTAGGTTGATACGGTGAAGTTCATAGGCTTGTCTGTGAAAGGTATTTTGTAAACTCCCTTTAAGAATTTAAACTGAGAGACTGGAGAGTAGTTTTCTTGTAAGAAGTGTGCGCCCACA